TCCCTCGGTCAGGAAGATCCCCTGGAGAAGGAAATGGCAGCCCACTCCAGTATTCTTGCCTGGGAAATCCCAAGGACAGAGGAGCCTGGTGGGCTACAGTCCCTGGGGTCACAAAGAGTTGGACACAACTGAGCAACTAGACAAGGACGGTGGACCCCATTCCAGTTGTTCTAAGTGAGAGCCAGTCTTTGGCCAGTGGAGCTTCTCAGTGACTCTTGGATCCTTTTGACATGACATCAGTTGTTCCTAGACTTTTTCAGTGGTTCGAGATAGAAAATGTGTGTGTTTGTTTTTAGTATGAAATATATCATGGATTCAAGGCTTTCCAGGTGATGTTAGTGGTAATGAACCCCCCTGCTGATGCATGAGGCATAGGAGATGAGGGTTCAGTCCCTGGATCAGGAAGATCCCCTGGAGGAGGGCATGGCAGCCCACTCCAGTATTCCTGCCTGGAGCATCCCGCAGACAGAGGAGCCTGGCCGGTACCGTCCATGGGGTCGCAAAGAGTCAGACACGACTGAAGCGACTTAGCACGCTCACACACATATCATAGGTTCATACTGCTACTTTCCGTTTAAGTTCAGAACTACAGAATTTTCCCTTAGCCTGTTCTGTCTTTTATTGATAATCTGCTTTCTCCCACCCCAAGAATACCAGTTCTCAACAGTGTGTGAAATTTGCTCTATTTTCCAGTTCCAAGTTCTTTTGACCCTATTGTAGCCTATTCTACTTCAATGAATCATAGCTGCTTTATGCTCTTGAAATGTAAGATACTAGGTAGAACTATTTTTTATCATTTTGAGTTATATGTGCCTTCATTCATATTGATTTGCTTTTGCATCCCTAGTAACTGTCCTTTCTGTAGTTTAATGAGAATCACGTGATACTTCGTGGTTAAAGCAGCTTTGGGAAAAAAAAGTCCCTTATCAGAGTGAATGACATACTTAGATTAACATAATGTCTTTGATTGTATTTTGCTTTCTCTAATTAATCTTTTGTTCTTTCCGTACAAATGAAATAATATCCATTCCATGGTTTTGCCTTCTAGGAATTACCAGAAAATATTCCTTATTTAAAAATTTATACTGTCGGGCATCAGGTTCCTGATGATGACACTATTTTTAAATTCAAAAATGCTGTTAATGGGTTTTTGAAAGAAAATAAAGATAATGGTGAGTGTTTTTTTTTTTTTTTCTCTTTACCTGAATTTTGGTATGCATTTCAAGTGGGGTTGGAGAATTTTAATATTTTTCATAGTTCTGACATTAGGCCTATTTGTTTGATAACATTAAGGAGGTGCTAACAGAGGCATTTTTCCTTTTTATCGTCTCAAGCAATTTAGTTTTGGGGTTTTTTTTGGGGGGGGCGGTCAATTCAATTTGGAACGTGATTGTTGTGAGAAGTACAGACTGAACTAGCTTACTTACCTCTTTTTAAAAACTTTGGGAAATATATAACAAAAATGTTCTTTTGTCCTATTGCTTGGTTGAAAGGTATCAAAGGGAACACGGTGTTTGCTATGTTTTAAGACTGAGTAATCTCTTTGGAATGCCACTGACCCACTGACAGCGTGCGACCCCTCTGTGGGTCTTCTGCCAGCAGTGGGCTAACTTCACTGTGCTCTCTGATGTCTGGATCTTGCTTATGATCCCTTGTAGTTTCCTCTGCTATAAATCCCTCCCAGGGATGCCAGGCTCACTGATAAAGAGGGAGAGGCTATACTCTCCACTCCCTAAAATTGGTAGACTCAGAAAATAAATTGGTTTAGTAAACACTGAGAGCTTATGAGGTTTGTTGTTAGGGCATGGGGAAACAGGTGACCAGCAGTCTAGTTCAGTAGAGACTTATGGTTATCTAGGAAGATAAGCATGTAGTAACTCTAAGACAGTGGGTTAATTATAATAAAAGAACCAAGTGCAGGGACTTCCCAGCCGTCAGTGGTTAAGACTCCATGATTCCCGTGCAGGGGGCGCAGGTTTGATCCCTGGTCCGGGAACTCAGATCCCATATGCTGCGTGGTGCGACCAAAAACAAATAAACAAAAATAAAAGAATCAAGTGCCCCAGGAGAAACTGAGGAGGGCCTGACTGAGGGTCTGAGCTGGGCTTGGGGGCAGAAGATCTTGCCGGAATGAGGAGAGGACAGACCAGGTATTGGGAGCAGGTACAGAGGCGCAGGACTAGAACTTGTGCAGTGGAGGGGCGGCCCCTGGAGGGCTAGAGGGCAGTGTGAATGGACAGGGAAGTCACACATTCATTTTCTACAGAAATATCTCATAACCATCTGAGTTGGAGGCGCTATTCTAGGAAGTAGGAACAGAAGAGTTCTTGCCCTCACATACTTTACATTCTGGTGGGGGAGAGAGAGAAAAGTAATCATATGGAGTGTCAGGCAGTGGGTGGTAAGTGCTCTGGAAAATAACAAAACAAGATGAAGTGAGGGAGTGTGGAAGGTGACCAGGGAAGCCCTCTCTATTAAGATGTCAGTTGATCAGAGCCTTAAAGGAAGCAAGGAACAAGCCATTGGATATCTGAGGGAGTGGGGATGGGGTGGGAGGGAGTGTTCTAAAGCAGAGGGAATAGTAGGTACAAATTCCTTGAGGCACGACTATGCTTGGCAGGTTTAAGGAGTAGTAAGAAGGCCAGTGTGGCTGAACAGGGGTGAGTGAGTGAAGTCAGAGAAGTAGAAAATGGGGTCAGAGAGGCTGGCAGGGGACAGGAGGGAGGTGGATTACACAGGTCAAAGTTTGGACTTATGATTCAGTTGGAGAAACAGATTGATAGTTTCAATTTATAATTCAGTTGGAGAGACAGATTGATACTTGTTTATAAAGAGTTCTAAATTCTTTTGCTAAAAATTTGGGGTTTATTCTATGCTAAATGAAAATTTTTAATCAACAGAGCAATCCAGCCAGGTTTCTATTTTAGAAGATAACATCTTCCATGTGGCGGGTCAGTTGAAATAGAAGGGGTTAGAAGTTGGGCAGTAGTAATCCAGGCCAGAGATGACAAATGCCACACACTGCCTAGTCACAGACATGCCTTTTGCAGAGATAAAATGTGTTGTTTTCTATTTACTTTCTCATATATATATGTATGTATACATATACATACATACATATATATATATATTTTTTTTAAGTGCTAAACTAAGAGAGACTGTGGCATAGGTGGAAAAATCTGAGACTCTATTCTAGTCTTTGTTCTGTTTGCCTGCTGTGCAGCTCGGCCTTAACATCTCAAGCCTTACTTTTTCATTGTGATATAAGAACAGTGCTATGTTCCCGAGAACTCCACAGGCATACAGACCCATGGTATGTGTGGAGCAGCGAATGAGAGTAGGAACAGAAGCACTTTGGGAACCCAAGAAACCGTTTGTTCTTTTCATAAATACTATTGAGCATTAAAAGTGAAGGCTTTCCAATTGTTTCACCCAAAACAGATTTCATTCTTTTGGTAGCTTGTTTTGTTTTGTTTTTTCCCCACTCCCTTTTTCTATAGTCAAATCAGCTCATGATGGGCATGCTCCAGTCCATACTATTGCATATGATTGGAGGCTATGCAAGATTTCCAGGAGGCAATGAATTTTGACTATATTAATTCTTTATAGTGTGTTCCTGCTTAAACATATTTTTCTTCAGGGTTTTTCCATTTTAGGATAGTGGTGGTGTTCTAGTAAACAATAAATGCTACTCTTCAGAAAATTGTATAACCTGTCTTTAAGTAGCTACTTCATTTATTTAATCCCATATTTTCTGTTTTATAGACAGACTTATTGGTGTCCACTGTACCCATGGTTTAAACAGGACTGGCTACCTCATCTGCAGGTGAGTTGCCAACCCCAAGAGGCAGACCATGTTTAAATTTTTTGTTTACAATAGTAATGTCAGCTGAATGCAGAAAATGCAGTCAGTTAAAGAAATGTATGATGTAGAAGCAGTTATGCCCTCGATTTAGGAGATTACCACCAGTAATAATTTAGCACACATTTTTTTTTTTTTACTTAAAAAACAGATAGAAGCACATATAATCGTCCCCTGATATCTGCAGGGGACTGGTTTCAGGATATCCCATGGATACCAAAATCCTCAGATGCTCAGGTCCCCTGTGTAAACTGGTGTAGGATAGTCAGCCCTCTATATCTGCAGGCATGAAACCTGTGGATACAGAGGACTGACTCTACATGTGATTTCATGGTATAATTTAATATATGGTAGACATCTTCCTATGAAAATATTTGGAGACTTTGTTCTTTTTTAAAGGCTGCATTGTTTCTTGGCTTCCTGATGAACAGAAATTCAGAAATTTTTGATATTATAAAACATTGAAGTAATGAACATTCTTCTGTGAATGTCTTTGACTATATATGCTTTATCTCAGATAACCTCACTCTGAATGGGACTTCTGAATTAAAGAGTTTATGCCCTTATGCTTTTTGTGACTGTACCAATTTTTGTTTGTTTATTCAGAAAATACTTAAAATATTGAGCATCTGTTGTGTTTAAGCTCTGTGCTGGGTCCTAGCAAAAAGCCTAGGGAAATTGTGTGAGCAGAGAGCCTTTACCTACGCTTTGTGAATTCCGGCAGTCCAGAGAGGGAATAGAGATTCAAGAATTACAGTCTGCATGTACAGTTACAACTCTGACAAATGCCAAGGAAATGGACCTGGTACCACCTGGTACCATATTTTAGGGAGGATTTGACCTCATCATGGAGATTAGAAGTTTCTTCCCCACCACCCCCCCCTTTTGGGCTTTTATTGAGGTCATTATTACATAGGCATGATTGATTAAATCATTGGCTGTTGGCAGTGGACTCAACTTCCAGCCCATCTCCAGCCCATAAAAGTTCCAACCTTCATACAATATTTCTCCTTCGAGAAAGTTTCTCTAGGGATGTTTGAGCTGATATCTGATGGAGAAGTAGGTGTTAACCAGACATTGGGGAGACATTTCTAAGCATAAGAAATAAGAAAGACCCTATAAGAGGAAAGCATATGCTCTGTTGGAGGAACTGGCCAGGAAGGCAGGGGTGTAGGGGAAGTGTGTCATTCAAATGGAGCTGGAATGTGGGTAGGAACTCAGTCTTGCAGGTTTGTGTTCAAGGTTTTAGACATTAAAGAGTATTAGAAAATCACTGAACTGTTTTTGTTGAAGGTGAGTGTACTTAAGTTTGTATTTTCACCCTCTCATTTGGCTACTGAGTGGAGAATACACTGCAGGGATAAAGAGCAAGGAAACAAGTTAGGAGACGTTAGTAGAAGCTGGGCATAATGGTGGCTTGGACAAGGATTTGGTGGTCATTTTGGTGGAAAGATGTGAACATATTCTAGAGATGTTTAGGCAATATCATTGTTTAGGTCTTGGTGGTGGGTTGAGGATGAAGGTGAGGAAGAAGTACCTGTCAGTGATGGTGATTCCTAAGTTTCTGGGTCCTACAGTTGGTTAATAGTTAATAGGTTAATAGTGTTTTTTTTAGATATGATGCTAATATTTTTCCTAATTTGTCTGTTACTTGTTGGTTCCTGATGAATAATACTCAGTCATATTAAGTCTCCTGTTTCTAGTGTACAGAGCATTCTGATCAAAGCTGACTGTTGTATCTTATCAGATACCTTTTTAATATTTGCCAGTTTCATCCTGTATTTTATTCTCTTTCATTTATTAATTGTTGTATTAATGTAAGTAAATACATTAATAGATTTTCTAAAGCTGGGTCATCGTTGCATCCTTGGAATAAAGCCTTTTCATATATCATTCTTTAATAATTACTGATTAGATGTGCTGATGTTTTCTTAGGATTTTTATTTCTATATTTGTAAAGTGAAATTGGACTTTTTTTTTTGCAAAAATGATTTTTTTTCCTTTTTATTTAACAATTGACTTGAATTTTGTTGTCTGTTAGGTATTTGATTGATGTAGAAGGCATGAGGCCAGATGATGCAATTGAATGTAAGTATGAGAGCTGTCACTGTTTTCCCTTTTTTTTTTTAATCTGAAAGTAGAAATGTAGGTGAATTTTGCAAATTTTGTTAAAAGAGAAAAGTTTGTGATTCATTTGTTCTGACATAAAATAAACTTTTAGCAAAAGTTTATAAAGGGATGTATCTGAAAGTAATGAGCTGTGACAACCTGAATAATCAGTAAGTGGACTTCCTCTTTGATCTGCTTTCTCTGGGAAAGATTTGCTTTTTGTACACTTATTTCTAACAGTTCATCTTCTCCTCAGTATTCAATAGATGCCGTGGACATTGCTTAGAAAGGCAAAACTACATTGAAGACCTTCGGAATGGTCCCATCAGAAAGTAAGTTGCGTTTATACCTGTTAGTTGTGGTTAGAAAGATCTATTTTTGTATCATTTAAATTGTACATATCCATTCTTCTTGTAGCTCATTTACTTGCTGTAGGAAACCTAAACAAACAGGAGTGTGGGGGGGCAGGTGGGGTTGTGTGTTTTCATGGGCCAAAACACAGTCACTGAACTGATACCAAATTTGGACACCAATAATATTTTGTGAAAACATTCTGTTTGAGGAATTGGGATTCCAGTGTATCTAGAACAAGAGGTTTTGAAGATTCAACACATATGATGGAGCCAGTTTTCACAGCTACTAAGTCTTTTAACCGAAGACCTAAGCATAACATACATCAGACCCAAGGTTACCCAGAACCTCGGCATTTCCATACCTGGACTCAAGATTTACAGCAGTCAGAAAGGTATCTCTGCTTTATTTTGTCTAAAATTGAAATAGAAACTAATATTATAAATTAGTGCAAACACAGTATGATAATATGGAGAACTTGTATTTTCTTGCTGGTCAGTGTCAACCAGGAGGTATTCTTTTCTCCGTGTTTTGCACTTAGGGCTGGAAAATCAAGTATAGGGTGGGGAATAGGTGATTTTTCAGAGGCAGTTGAGATAAGATCTTAGAAATTTTCATTGATCCTTAAACTTAGTTTAAGGCAATAATTTGATGTGCGTGCCAAAAAGGATCTTACATACTTGTCTGTGTGTGTTAGTAGCTCAGTTACATCTGACTCTTTGTGACCCCATGGACTGTAGCTCACCAGGCTCCTCTGTCCATGGGATTCTTCAGGCAAGAATACTGGAGTGGGTTCCTATTTCCTCCTCCAGGGGGTCTTCCTGACCCAGGGATCAAACCCACATCTTCTGCATTGGCATGTGGATTCTTTACCACTGTGCCATCTGGGAAGTCTCCTTGCATTCTTAGGCTCCGTTAATAGTGGTACAGTTTTCAGAATAAGGAAGGTTGTTTTATTTAAGAGTAAACAAAAATTAGGGCTTCCCACGTGGCACTAGTGGTAAAAGAATCCGCCTGCAGTGCCGGAGATATGAGAGACTTGAATCTGATCCCCGGGTTGGGAAGATCCCCTGGAGGAGCGCACAGCAACCCACTCCAGTATTCTTGCCTGGAGAGTGCCATGGACAGAGGAGCCTGGGGCTGTGGTCCATGGGGTCACAGAGAGTCAGACACTACTGAATCGACTTAGCACAGCACAGCACAATAAATGCAAATTATACGGAAAATAGTACAATGCCAGTAGAGAAATCTGCAGGAATTGAAATATAAGTCACACACATATTTTTTTACTTGAGAAACAGGAAAAACCTCAGAACAATTAAAATAGCACAAGGTAGTCCAGGGTAGTGATTGTCAGGCTGGACCTGGGTTTGCATCCTAGCTCTGTTGTTCACTCTCTGTATGATCTTGAGTAAGATCTCTAAATTCCTGTTCTCTTATCTGTTGGATGGAAATTTTAATAACATTATAAATAAAATTTTTCTAATACATACCTTGGGATTGTTATTGATTATTACATAAGTTTATTAAGTATTTTAGCACTTTGTAAACTTTCCACTTTCAAAAGATGTTGACATTTTTAGAAGATGTGAACATTTCAAAGATTGTTGCTTCTGTTCCCAGGGACTCTGAAAATAGTTATAGCCCTTTTGAAACATAACTGTAATAGCCATAAAAATGCTCATACCTGCTAACCTTGAGACTACAGAAAAACTTCAAAGTATGGAAAAATCCATATGCATTTAATCATTCAACACATTTCTCTCAACTTTCTACTGTGCATCAGACTCTGAACTAAATGCTTAGGATAGAGTCATATATGTTCTGAAATGTTAATCCCAGCATTATTTACAGTAGTGGAAAAATTGATAGCAGCTTGCATTTCTAACAGTTAAGAATAGCTAAGTAAGTTATCTATTCATACTGTGATATTTTATAAAACCATTAAAAGTGAGAGCTCACTTATAAGAAGTGAAAATAATAGGTTATGATTCAATAGTCAAAAAAAGATGCAAGAGGAAAAGACCAAAAGAAAATATTGACCAATTTAGTTAGATTAATTGGAATTGAGGGGTTTGGGGGGTGTTTACTTGTCTCAGCTCTCCAAATTTTCTTTTATATGATTATATTACATTTACTGGTATTAATTTTGAGACAGTTAAATTTTAATTTTCCAAATTTGCTGCATGTGCTATGGTTAGAATTTCTACATTTTGTAATTAATTTATATATGTATTGATTTCTAAGGTGAAAGCAGGTTCCTGTTTTCAAAAATAAATAGCTCATTCTGTTTCGTGTCAACCCTGCCACACTTGGAGTGAAGATGTCTGATTAGAATAGTATGAGCGTTTACCTCTGTAGGGAAAGGTGGAAAAGGCTACTGGGAACCTAGAGTGTGCCCTAGTCGTTGTGGTGGGTGATTGAAAGACATTGTCTTAATTTACCTTCAAAACAGTCATGAAGATGGAGGGTATTTAATAATACCCTAATGCTCTACTTTATAAAGCACTGAGAGAGCCAAAGGTTAAGCAATTTTATCTGCTAAAATCACACAGGTTGAAAACAGTAGAACCAGAGTGGTCTATGTATAATTTTATAAAGCTTGTTATATATAGTTATTAAAACTAATAATGTTTTATTACTTTCATTTTAAGAAAATTTTCACGGAATCAGAACATTTACCAGAGATGCCATGTCCCTCCTCCTGGTCCCCCTGGAGAGGACTATTTCCAGAGGAGATACTCTTGGAATGTAAAGCCAAATGCCAGTCAAGGAGGCCCGAACCAAAGGTTTTCTCCTGGCAGTTACTACAGAGTACCCTATTCAGCCTATTATAGATGGGCCAAGTGACACAAGCCTACCCTGGAAATCTGTCTGGAGACAGAGCAGGACTGAAATCAGCAAGTGACTTTTTGTAAGATCAGGTCAAATGAAGTTTATAATCTATTTTATTGCTGCCTTATATGTTCAAGCTTAAGGAAAAATTATATTGATACTTACTACTGCTGACAAATTTGCAGTATTTACAGCAGTGAAGGAAATAATCTGTCATTCCACTCAAATTTTTTTTAAAGGAAGATGATATTTTAGAACTGATAAAAGTAATAAAGAATATCCCTTGTAAATTAATGAAAAATTCTACCTTTGTTTTCTATGTATTTTTTCCTGACTAAACTTGTGGTGTTAGTGTGTCTGTATGTATGTGTGTGTGTGCATGCAGAAACATATTTTTGTCATATTCTGTTATTGACCCAATCACTAGGGTATCTTTTTTCTCCCCCTAACTGTTTAATATTTTTGTTAAGATCTACCTAGGAGATAATCTCTTTAGAACCTAATCACTACTTTTGATTAGTTGTAGTATTTTTGTCATTAGACATTTCTTTCATTATCAATCTGTTGTTTTATTGGCAGCTTCCTTTCACTGAATTTTCAGATAGGCCATCTAACACAGGAATGGATAAACTTTGAGAGTGATTGTCAGTTGAGCAGGAAAGCCCAATCGATACATCTAAATACTTAATGCTGGGTAATTTACCTGACAGGGTAACTGTTATCAATTGGGTAGAGCTACTCAGAAAACTTGAAAACTTTTGTAGACTGTAAAGATTGCTTGATGAACAGAATAAGATGTGACATTTAAAGCCTGCGATATCCACGGAGACTTGCCTGGCTCCTTAAGTTACTGCTTTTCTGTTGAACGTAACCTGCTGCAGTCTTTTTCTACTAGCCTCTCACTGTGGGATGGTGCCTGACCTTGACTTTTTCTAAGTTATCTCTTAGCTGGTTTTACCTCTAGAACACAGGGATGGATCACTTGGGAGCTATTAATTATTTTTAGTTGCAGAGGAAGCCAGAAACTTTTGTTTGCTCAAGAAAGGGTGTAACTCAGGACATCTTAAGCCTTGGTAGATATTTGATGAATACTTGGGCAAGTTGGCCTCATTTGTTACGCCTCTGATTTTGGAGTGTTGTATCATAGAATGATGCTGCCTGTGATGGCTGTTTGCTCTGTTGTGTTTCATAAATGGACATCCTGTGGAACCTGACGCTAAGGAGGTGCTCTAACTCACCATCTAAAGGGTGGCTCAAAATTTTTTTTTGTACCTGCCACATTTAACAGAGATACAAAAGTTTTTCTTGTTTCCTCGCATTGTTTCCTCACATACCTCATGAGCTCTCACTTGGAAAGCAATTGGAGCAGGACAACTGGTGAGGCAGAAGGAGAACCACCAGGGACAGGCATGGGATTCCAGCTAGTCTAATATTCTACAGAGTCCTTGGCAAGCAGTTTCTGAGGAGGACGTTGCCAGCACAAGTGTCACATAAGCAGTGCCACCTTGGAAAACCATCTTTAATCCTGTTGTCCTCTGTGCCCCCATCTCATTTCAGTCATCAGCACAGCTTGTTGATAACCACTCTCCTCTTGTGTCTCATTTATTCTTCAACACATTGTGGTTTTGGCTTCTGCTCACATCATACCACTGAAAGACCTCTGGCTAAAGGGACCAGCAACTTCCTCTTTTAAAGCTGTGTAGTAGTCTGTTTAAGCTTTTACATTTTTTATTTTCATCACATCAAAAAACACATATAAGAAACACACACACACGTATGTAGTTTTTTTTTTTCTTTTTTAGGGTATAAAAATTTATTACACATACAGAATATTACCACTAACAAATGCAGACAGGCGAGGACACCACAGTACGGGATGGAGCACGGCTGGCTCTTTGGAAAGTGAACGGGTCGGGTAACTTAGAGCCTCAGGCCATGCGGGTTGGCCAGTCAGATGGGGAAGCACATGCCAAACTCCAGGGACGTTGGGGCGTCCAGTGACCGCTCTGGGTGTCGGCGGCCTTCCCATCTGATCTGGGGCTTCGAAGGATACCACGCCCAGAAGCAAGCAACCGAAGCGAAGGGGCTTCCCAAGGTGGCCCAGGCTTGTCTCAAGTCACGGCAACACCAGAGTCAGCAGTGTGTTTAACTGGACGATTTCCACAGACTACACGTGACGTTTCTAACCATCACACTCGGTGAAGTACAGAACATGAAGTTACCGGCTGTGGGAAGAGAAGGCAGCACCTTCCAGTCCCAGTTGGTCTGGGGGGTGAGGGTGGGGGGGGGGTATCTTTTTAAACCGAGCCCCTCATTTCATTGTACAAAAGAATTACTCTGATCGGTATTAAATTGTATTGAAAACAAAATGAACTAAAAACCAAATACTACTCTATGTTGGGGTGAAATGGGAGGAAAGAATGAGTCCTTCAAAGCAGGAGGGGGACAGTCGGGGAAGGTTCTGGGCCGTGACCCTTGGCGGTCACTCACGCTGCTCCATTTTTACTTTTGGTGGTCTCAGGAAGGTCCGGTTTTTCTTCTCTTTCTTTCCTTTCGTATTGGCTTGGAAGTTTCGCCAGCTGTCCATGCGACCATCTCGACTTTCCTCAAAATTTTTCTGCCACTCCCTTTCTCGTTTGGCTTTTTCTTGAGCTTCAGTCTCTTCCTCCTGTTGTCGCTTCCTTTCATGCATCTCTTTGGCTTGTCTCTCTTTCCTTTTAATTTCCAGCTCAGCAAAGAGTTTCATTGTCAGTTTGTATACTGCTTGTTTAAACAGCTCAGGGTCATCCTCCTCCACATTTGTGGGCTTTCCTTCCTTCTTTAATTGCTTTTTTCGCTCTTTCACGGCGTGCTCCACGTATTCTTTTCCTGCCTGAGTTACATTCAGGGCCCTCTTCTTTTGTTCCTGATCCAGTAGCAACTTGTAAGCTTTGTCCACAGCTTCAAGAGCCTTTTGTGCTCTGTCAGCATCATCTTGATTTTTGTCAGGATGCACCAGTATGGATAACTGCCGAAACCTCTTTTTTATTTCTTCATCTGTCATTTCAGGATCTATCTGAAGAACCTCAAACGAGTTCAAATTGAAGTGGGAAGAGCCAGGACAAGTCAGTCTTTCAATCTGATTTTTGGACGTTAGAACTGAATCTCTTCTCTCTTTGTTTCACCTCACTGTAGAAGGTCATCAATGCCTCCTCTGTGCTGCCTCCTCCACCCTAAACCCCGCTCTCTCCTGGAGCCGCCATTTCCCCGGCCCAGCGACCACGTGACTCTTCTGTATGTAGTTTAAAATTCAAGTAGTTCCACTGAGATTTTTATGAAAAAGAGTAGTCTTCCCATTAGCACACCTGCCCTACCCCCTGATTGTCACTCCCCAAGGGCAACACTTTATGTATTTTTGCATTATTATCTTGTATTTGCCTGTTATTTAAATACTAGGCTTATATGACCACTTCTCGATTTTTCAGTTTCTAGTACTTTCTGTTGCTTTCCTACTGTAGAAGATGAGTATTTTTTAGCTCTTTCATATCATCTTTCCACATACACACTTCTGTTCCCTGCATATTTTTAGTATAGTTATTTTCCAACTTTTGGTTAAATCAATATCCTAAGTTTATGTTATTTTCTAGGTAAGTGTTCACCTCTGAACCATGGTGTGCCATGGTTATTCTTATGCCATTTTTGCCCCTACATTTTTGTGTCTTTTCCTATAGACCTAATGTGGATAGGGTAAACACATCAGACTTTTTTTGTTTGAAATCTCTTGGGTTGATTGGATTTGTTCTTGACTTGGTCTAAGTTGGGCACTGTTTGCCAGGGCTGCCATTAAAAAAAAAAAAAAAAATCAGAGACTAGGTGTCTTAAACACTGGATATTTATTTTTTCAGAGCTCTGGAGGCCAGAAGTCCATGATCAAGGTTTCAGCAGGGCTGGTTTCTTCTGAGGCCTCCTTGGCTTGTAAATGACCATCTTGGTCATTTGTCTATACATGGTCTATACTTGGTCTTCCCTCTGTATCTATGTCCAGATTTTCTTTTCTTTTATGGAAACCAGTCACACTGGATTGTGTCCACCCTAATGAACTCATTTAAACTGAACTTTTTAAAGACCCCATCTTCTAAGTACAGTCACATTCTGAAGACCATGTGGTTAGGATGACATCAACATACAGCTTTCGCAGGGACACAACTCAACCTATGACAGGTACATGGTGGTGGTTCTCTAACCAGGGGCACAGCTCTTGCCCTGGGATTTCTCTTTGCTTTCGCCTTGTTCATTTCTTCTGTGTTTCTTCTGTTTCCTGGATCCACAGGTTTACTTCCCTGTGTGGTGGAGCATATTCTTACATGGTTTCCCAAGGATTAATGGGATGCAAACATTTTGAGGCTTTTGCATCTCTGAAATGGGTTTATTTTATTCTTTCACTGCATTGATAAGTTGATATGCTGTACATTTGTAGGTAGGCAGTTTAAAATGCATTTATTCATTATTTTTCCATAGTTCATTGTTGCTGTTTAAAACCCTATGCTGTTCTGGTTTCTGTGCTGCAGTCCATGGGGTCACAAAGAGTCGGACACGATTGGGCAACTGAACAACAGTAACAATTCTGATCCCAGAACTTTTATTTGTGACCTGTAATTTTTATTTCTGAAAGCTTTAGGATCTTTATCTCAAGTGTTCTGAAATATCATGATGTGACTTACCGTGGGTAATTTTTTGGCTGCACTGGGTCTTCGTTGCTGCGTGCAGGCTTTCTCTAGTTGTGGCAAGCAGGGGGCTACTCTGCAGCGTGCAGGCTTCTCTTGTTGCTGATCGTAGGCTCTAGGACACATGGGCTTCAGCAGTTTCAGCTTGAGAGTTCTAGAGCGGGGGCTCAGTAGTAGTGCCTCACAGGCTGAGTTGCTCCACAGCACGTGGCATCTTCCCAGATAAGAGATCGAACCCATGTCTCCTGGCATTGAAAGGTGGATTCTTAACCACTGGACCACCAGGGAAGTCCCTAGTGTGGGTATTTTTAAAATTCATAATGCAGATGAGGCCTTCCAGTCTGGCAGGCCATGTGCATCATCAGTTCTGGGAAATTTTTTTTTCACTTTATCTTCTCTATATCTTTTTTTCTTTTTTAAAAAGTGGAACGCTTCCTCAATTTGCATGTCATCCTTGTGCAGGGGCCATGCTTATCTCTGTATTTTTCCAATTTTAGTCTGTGTGCTGCCGAAGTGAGCACTACCTTCTCTGTTTTCTTTTGGGGGAACTTCTATTAGTTGACTATTTGATTTTCTGAAATGTGCCTCTTAAGTTAATTGTATTTTTGTCTCTTATTTTCCATTTTTAATCTTTTTTGTTTTTTTTATCACAAATTTTCTCAGCTCTATTTCTACCCTTCTATTGGTTTTTTGCTATATATTTTATATCTATTTTTTCTGCTATATGTTTTTAATTTCCAAGAGCTAGCTCTTCTTTTCTGAATGGCTATCTGTCCCTGGCACTTCATTCTTTTATTTTTAATGAATGCATTATCTTTTCTCTCTTTAAGGTTATCAGTTTTTAAGTTTCTTCTGTTCTCTGTATCAGCCATTTTTGGTTTTGGTTTTCTCCTGTTGGTTGACTCCTTTCTCTCTTGTTAGATGTGATCTTGGAATATCTGGTGATCTTTGCCTGTTGTTGAGTACTTGAGATTTGAGCACTCAGAGCTGATGGAAACTGCTCATGTATGGTAGACTTGTAATAAGGCGGTCACTCACCTTGCTATTTTTGTTTAGCTTCCCCTTGCTGCACAGAATCAGGTTTCATTTTTGTCCATTTGTTTTTTTAAGCCCTTAAAAAATTTTTTTAAAATTTATTTTGGTTGTGCTGGGTCTTCGCTGGTAAACAGGCTTTCCTTTAGTTGCAGCAAGCGGGGCTCCCCTCCAGTTGCCGTGCACAGGCCTCCCACTGAGGCGGCTTCTCTTGTGGAGCACGGGCTCTAGGGCTCCTGGGCTCCAGGGCACGGGCTCGACCGTCGAGGCACGCGAGCTTAGCTGTTCCGAGGCATGTGGGCTCTTCCTGGACAAGGGGTCAGTCCTGCATTGGCAGGTGCATTCTTTACCACTGGGCCACCAGGGAAACCCTGTTTTTCTCCATTTTGACAGCTAATATCTTTAAAATTTTTACTGCACTTTCTCTCATCTACCATTCATCATCCCTCCCCTTCTCTTGTGAGCTTTTAATCTTTGGGAGTTTTTCTTTTTTGTTGGGGTTTGGGTGGTGAGTAGAGATACAGATTTGAGTTCAGTCTAGCCAGTATAATGAGACTTTTGTCAATTAAATGAGTTTTGGGTTTAACATCAGTCTGGTAAGCTTGATTTTTAGGCATCACATCCCAGGATTGTAGGCCACTTGGTGCCCTAAGTCATGATCTGGACCCACACAGTCAACTACAGACACTCCTACTGTGGAGGAAGCCCTACTTAGGATCCTGCCTGAACCACCTTTCTAGTTTAATTCTAACAGCTGCCCCAGCATTATATCCTAAAACAAACTCATGAATGTTATTCCCCTCTTGAAAATTTCGAATGGCTTATGATCTTTAGAATCCATTTCCAACTCCTTGTCAAGGCCTTGTGTGATCTGACTCCCAGCTGATTTTTCAAAGCCTCTGCCATGTTCCACTCCATTCTTCAGTGTACCAGCAGTTCTTGAGCACATACACATTTATGCCACGGTGTCTGTCTTTCCGATTGTTCCTTGGCTATAACATTTCTCCTGCAGCCTCTATGGGCAAATCATTCTGAAGCCCCATCTCCTCAGTAAAGCCATCTCTCCCAACCTTACCCACCTACTGAATTACTCCTTTAGCTACAAGGTACTTTGTAGTACTCTTTAGCATTTATTTCATTTATATCCTGTTATGTGAAATACAGATTCCAATAATAGTCTCCTCCTCCTTCCTGAAAGTGCCATCTGCCACCTGGCCCATGCTCCCCAGTTTTGCCTTTGCAGGCAAACCTAGCACTCCCTAAGCTGACCGGAGCCCAAGTTAAACTCTGGGCCTGTATGGCCCTTACAGCCCCCATATGAAGCCCTCTGTTACCGGCCATCCCTCCACTTTGGAGTTGGAGGAAATGCTGCGTATCAGGCCACAAGCTCCGGCTTTATGAGCTGCCATGAAGGGTGAGATGATGTACAGGAGTGTAGAGCAGTTCACTCCCGTGTGAGGAGCCTTAAATAATGAGATGCAGAAGAGAGAAGGGAGCCTGGCAGGTGAGTGCGCCCTCCATTTTCCCTTCTGTGGAATACTCTTGTGTTGGTCCTTTATTGGACCGGAACCTGGAGGTCGGGAGTCGACAATGAGAGTGAAAGAAGGAAAGAGGCACATTCCCTGGGTGCGCTCCAGGGAATCAGCCAGAAATAGAGAAAGAAAGAAAGAAAGACATGGGGACCAAAGCTCTGATGGAGCAAAGATGTTTTAATCGACATGGTGTGGGCATATATACTGTCTTACAATGTAGTTATCCTCAGAAAAGATGAAGATTAAAATTCCAGACTTACAAAACAAGAGAGAAGAGGGTACTTATCACCATAATGAGAAACTAACAAAGGAAATGCCTGGATTCCTCAGCCCCGGGAAAGGCTTGCCTCTCAATTCCTGAATATTCAGGAGTTAATAAGGGCCAGAGGATTCCTGACACTCTTGGAATGGCTTTTCGTTTCAAGCCTTCCAGAGAAGAACCAGCCTGCTGAGTGAACCTATACCAAACAACCTTTGTCTTTTTGGCTCACTGTGAAGCCTGTTCCTCACCCTCACCACTCTGTTCTCATATACCCCCAACAGAATTGTTATTTAGTCACTAAGTCCTGTCTGACTCTCTGCAACCCCATGGACCATAGCCCACCAGGCTCTTCTGTCCATGGGATTTCCCAGGCAAGAATACTGAAGTGGGTTGCCATTTCCTGCTCCACAAGTAGGTGGTAGTGGTTGCTAATATATCGACATCAATGATTTCAGAAATCAAGAGTAAAGTAGAACTACCTCATGAGACCAACCGTGACCACATGCACAGGGATTATAAGGGAATATTAATGACGTCAAAGGATAGATAATAGGAAATGGAAACATTAGACAGCCTTCTTTCCATCTGTTAGAGATTATGTTCAAGAGAGAACATTTTCAACAGCCTGACACAAGGCATTTTTTTATTTCCTTATGAAGCAATTCAGCAAGTTTAATTTCAATTTTATTTAAACTAGTTTTTTTTTATTGAAGTGTGGTTGCCTTACAATGTTGTTAGCTTTTGCTATACAGCAAAGTGAATCAGCTCTACGTATATATTGAACATATATTCTATTCCTTTTAATATTCTCTTCCATTATGGTTTATCACAGAATATTGAATACAGTTTCTTGTGCTATACAGTAGGACCTGTTCTATATAAGTGATGGTATCACAGGATACACTATTTTTATGTCTGATTTTTTTTTCAGCATAACTTTGAAATTTATCCATGTTATTGTATGTAGTAATAGTTGATTTCCTTTTTACTGCTGAGTTGTGTTCCATTGTATGGATATACAATTTGTTCATTCACTTAACAAGGGTTTGGGTTATTTCCAGCTTTTGGTGGTCTTTTGGTGGTCACAGACAAGTCACTTTGAACTGGACAACTTTTTTTTACGTCTATTTTTAAATCGACTTTACTGAGAAATTTTATAAAATGTACTGTTTAAAATGATGAATTTTAATTTATTAAAATTAAATTTGAATTTGAATTTAATGAATTTTAACACTAGTTCCCTTGTAATTAACACCAAATCAGGATTAGAACATTGGCTTCATCGCAAAGGTTCCCTTGGGGATTTTTTTCAGTGTCTCCCACTCCCCCATCCCTAACAACCAGTAATTTGCTTTCATTCTAGAATAAATTTGCTATTTGCAATTCCTGTAGTTTTGTAGAAATGGAATTGTACAGTAACAATTTTACTTTGCTTTTTTCCTGAGCATGTTTTTAGATTGACCCATGTTGCAAGTATGTTCATTCCTTTTATTACTGAATAGTATTTCATGACATGAATTTACCACGATTTGTTTATCCATTCATGTATTATTGGGCATTGGATTGTTTCCAGTTTGGGGCCATCATGTGTAAAGTTGCTATAAACATTCATGTTCAAGCCTTTGGGCGGACACGTTTTCACTCCTTCTGGTTAAATACCAAGGAGTGAAACTGCTGCATATGGTAAGTATGCATGTGCAAGGGAGTGTGCTCGTTGTTTCAGCCGTGTCTGACTCTTTTTAACCCTATCGACTGTAGCCCGCCAGGCTCCTCTGTCTATGGGATTCTCTAGGCAAGAATACTGGAGTGGGTTGCCATACCCTTCGCTAGGGGATTCTCCTGGGGATCAAACCAGCAGTCTCTTGCATCACCTGCATTGGCAGGTGGATTCTTTAACACTAGCGCCATGCATTTAATTTTTTAAGAAACTGCCAAACTCTTTTCCAAAGTGGTTACACTATTTTTATTTTATACTCGGACTAGCAATATGTGAAGGTTCCAGTTCTGGATGTTTGACAACACTTGATATTTAAAATTTTTAAGGTCTTTCAAATTTTAGCATTCTTATGGGTATGTACTAATAACTCATTATGTTTTCAATTTGTATCTATTTCTCTGATGACTAATGATGAGCATCTTTTCATGTTCTTATTGGCCTTTCATGTATCTTTCCTAAAATGTGTTCAATTGTGTCATCTATCCTTAATCAGGTTGTGTCTCTATTTTCGAATTGGAGTTGGTTGTATAATCTGGATACCAGTCTTTCCTCAGAATATATAATTTCATATATATTCCCACTGGGCTCAAGCCACCACGGTTCTCTGTGCTCTGTCTTAAATGAGACCACATCTGTTCTCAGTCTTTTAAAAACTCTCTCTGTTCCCTGGAATTGCTGCTCTTCAGATACACACAGAACCTGCTTCCAGACCTCCTCCAGTCACAAATGGTCCTTTTTGGTGAGATCTTTCTTGACCATCCTATTTTAAATACTAATACTCACGGCCTGACATTACCCCCTACTCTCTAGTTTTTTCTCCACAGAACATATCTATACTATTTACTATTTATCTGTCTTTTTGTTTAAAGAAAAGTATTGACCCAGATGAGCCCCCAAGCATAAAAACACAGAAGAATAACAAGTTAGAATAACATGGAAGAAAAACATCCGTTTAGCGGATGACCTCTTTCGGAGGCTGATATACCAGGGATGGCATCAGACTTGTGAGCCTGCTGGATGAAGAGGTGGTGTACCTCTCTCAAGTACCCGAGGCAGATCGCCGAGCGCTCTCGGCTCTAGGAGATCCTGGCCAAGTAGACCTCGCCCAGAACAAGAAAAAAGTGAGTCCTGTTTGCCTCGAAAAAAAACTGTCGAATCTCGAGCAGCGCAGACATATGTAGAGCTCATCGGAGCCATTACTTTTCTTCTCACTGGACGAAACAGGATGTCTCGTTCAAGACCAAGCGGCTTAAGGACGCGGAAAAAAACCCACACTCAGCTTCCGGTCCGGCCGGAGGAGCCTCGCCGCCTGTCTCATCGGAAGTGGCGAACGGAGCTCCTGCTCCCCTTCGGGTCAGCAGACGCGACTGACGCCGGCGAAACACTCTGTGTAAGGAGGTAGCCGAGAACCTTCCTCCGACCCAGACCTGCAAAGACGCTGCAGGGTCGGGCAGGGCGAAGAAGGAGCGCAGCTGCGGCAGATCTCCCGGAAGTCGAGCCCTTTGTTTCCGTGGGGAAGATATTACGAGACGGACGGGTACGCGGCGGTGAGTACTCCTGGCGCCACAGCGCTGGCCGGGTCGGGTGGGAACTGGAGACCAGTGATTTTCCAAATGATACCTGTGATTCCCCGCGCCCTCGTTTATGGAGCGTTTGCCAAGGTCGGGTCCTGGGATGCAGCCCGGTAGTGATCGGCTCTGCCTCCCTTCGAGGGCGGACGATGAGCCTGAGACTCCCTAAAGTTGTAACAGAGGAGCTCGTAGAATAGGAGACTAGTCCTGGGGTCCTGGGAGCGCTGGTAAATGGGCTCTTACTGGCCAGCCGAAGGGAGGGAGGATTAATTCAGAGTAACTGCGTGTCCGAGGGGGCGTGCTGGGTAGGGACTAGGAGTGGTGACAAGCTGGAAGGGCCAGTGCGGCGGTGGGGGAATGAGCGCGGTCTGCAGGGGTGCGCTAGGAAGTGGAAGAGGGAGGAAGGTCTCATCACAGAGTTTGGGACTCCGTGACATAAAGGGACTTTACAGCAGGGCAAGATTTGGTGTACATTTTGAAAAGATCGCTTTGACTCCCGGGTGGAGGTTGGATGATAGGAGGGAAGGAATTGTGAGGCGACCTCTTCTAGGAGGTCACCGCTGTTGAGAGAAGGTGGCCAACAGCGGTGGCAGAGTAGGTATGGGAGAGAATTGGACTCTTCAAAATGATACTTAAAAATTGACAAGAGTTTTGTTTAAGATATGGGATTTGAGTGGGAGGTAAGTATCCAGCGATGGTTCGAAGTTTCTGACCTGAGTGAATTATATAAAACAAACCAAAACCATTTTTGACGTTTGATAGGCGCCCTTTCCCCCGTACTGTAAAAACAAACACCAGAAAAAAATGGTTTCCTCCCTGGTTATATGTACTCGTTATCTTTTGTGTGCTCGCTGTAGAAAATTCAGAACATGCAAAAATACTTTTTCTAGAAAAGAAAATTATCTGTAATTCTGCTACCCAAGATGGCCATATTTTGGTGTGTTTCCTTTATGTTTTTGTTTTCTGAGCCCCCCCCTTTTTTTGTAGAATTGGGTATACATTCTGTGTATATATATTTTTTCCATTGGTTGTTATCATGATAATAAAGATTGGGTGGCCCTGCTGTGCCAAGACATTATTCACAATTTTACTTTTCCAGATTGTAACAGAAAAAATCAGATATAATTCCAGCAAGTCAAAGATAACATTTTGTTGTTTTTTTCAGTAGTTTTCTTTTTGTGTACATTTTAAAAAACCCACACATTATGCCACATTTTGTGTTTTGTTTTCCAATCAGATGTTAAGTATTTAATGTTATTTATTACTATATTTACGCAGCCTTAACTTCTCTTCAAGACTACAGGTTTTAGTGGTTGATCAATAAAGCCGCTGTAGTTGGGCCTGTTACTAGTTAGGTAGGTTTTCAACCTTTTACTCTTAGGATGATAAGAAAAACATCTTACTACATAAATCTTCATATTGCCAATTTATTCCTTCAGAAAAATGGTGGAAATAAAACTTCCTAGGTAAAAGGATAAAGTGAACCTATATAAAATTGCCTCACCTAAATATCTTTTTGAGACTTTAGTTGAAATTGTTTTAAAGATTATATTTTTGCAGTGGTTAGTTTTTTCGTTCAAAGATAGATTATGTCTCTCCAGTTATTTGTTGTTTATGCTGCTTTTATGTTTTTGTATATACCCTGTCCTTTTCTTGTTAAATTTATGTCTATAAAGGGTGTTACTATTTTATTATTTAAGAATTGTACCCTCTAGGCTTAAATTCCCATGTATGTAATGAATATCTTTGAGTTGTGTCATACTTTCTTCTTTAAGATTGTTTTCTGCCTTATATTTATGTCTTAGTTAGTTAAGTCGCTCAGTTGTGTCTGACTCTTTGCGACCCCGTGGACTGTAGCCCATTAGGCTCCGTCCATGGGATTCTCCAGGCAAGAATACTGGAGTGGGGTCATTTCCTTCTCCAGGGGATCTTCCCAACTGAGGGATCGAACTCAGGTCTCCTGATTGCAGGCAGACACTTTAACTTAAACTCTGAGCCACCAGGGAAGCCTATGTTTATGTCTAGATTCTGCCAAAATAGAAATAAAATGGTGCAGTTAGAAAGCTAAAAAGACTAAGTTGGAGTGAGGTTCCTTAATGCTGTAAGTAACCTGTGGTCTGAACAGCATTTGGTATTCTGCTCCTAGTTGCCTGTTGAGAAGCTCCCCCTCACCCAGAGCCTGCCTTACCTGTACAACCAGGGGACCCGGTGTTGCCCTTGATCCTTTCCCAGGAAGGAAGCTAGAACAGCTGAGCAGGGTTAGGAAGACAGTCTGTCATGAGGCTGCCAGATGTTTGGGGGTGGGTTTTTCAAGGTTAACAGTTCTACATCTTATTATTAAAGTTATAATACTTTAATTGTGAGCAAGGATATTTGTTAGTGACTTACAGTTGTTAACTTTTGGTCTTTTGGTCTTGTGCAGTAGCATCCTGCTTATCTATGAAATGCAGTTAACACATCAGCTGGACCTATTTCCTGAATACAGGGTGACCCTTCTTTTATTTAAAGATGTAAAAAATGCTGCTGGCTTGAGAAAAAAGGCCATGGAAGGCGCCATTGATGGCTCATTAATAAACCCTGCGGTGGTAAGTACTCACGGCAACGAGTGAGCTTTAAGGGGAGTTTTAAGAATCTGATGATTTTTCATGGTGTTATGGGTTAGCCCAAAATTGTTATCTTCAAGTGAAAAGGACTTGTCTAACCTGTAGAGTGGATTCAGATTTGGCCAGCCTTCAACTGAACAGTGAATAGAAGCCAAGTGCTGAGCCCTGCCCTCGGAGACGTGAAAGGTGGTCTCCCTCTGATATGATGGCAGATGCCTAGATATCCATCTTCTTGTCTGACCTAGAAAAATCTCTGTAAAGGAGGCATTGCATAGTGGTAGAATCACCAGGACTTAAATCCCAGTTATGCCATTTATTATGACTTTGAGCATGTTGGAGCCAACCTTTATACAGTGCTTATTTGGTAGGTTCTTTATATATACTGCTAACTCAGTTAATCTTCACAACAGCTCTATGAGGTAGTGAGATGATTATCTGCTTCTAAACGATAAAATGCTAAAGAATTTGCCCAGGTTCCCTTGGTGGTAAGTGGCAGAACTGAAATTCCAACCGCTTCTTTGCCTTGGTTTCCTCATTTATTGCACATGAAAAATAATAAAGGTATCAAATAGGGTAGTTTTGAGTAGAACAGAAAATAAAGTTTAAATGTTGAGAATACGGCCTTTCCCCTAATAATGGTCCTCAGTAAGTTGTTTCAAAACTTTTTGTATCTTAATTGCCTGCAGCTGTAAAATTGTGTGATTTCTCTAAACACCGAGACCCTTGAGATTTTGAAAATATAGATATTGTGATGACGTGAAACAGCCTAACACTGGAGTCACCGTGGTACAGGGCGTTATCCTTCAGAGTCCTCCGGATTCTTGTGTGTAATTCTTTTTGTTCTCTTTGGCAGATTGTTGATCCATTTCAGATAATTGTGGCCGCAAACAAAGCAGTTCACCTCTACAAACTGGGGAAAATGAAGACAAGAACTCTATCCACTGAAGTTATTTTCAATCTTTCCCCAAATAACAATGTAATTAATATGGAATATATACTTTCTTTATATCTGTTGACCTTGTCATAGTAGCCTGTGTGTGCCTCAGTGTTGGCTTGGAGCCTGTTGCTGGTAACAAACCAAAACAAACCAAAACGAAGAGTGAGTTCTGGACAGAGAGTTGAGGTTTAGCATTGCCTCCTACTAGACAAGTAAGCTTCAGAGTCATTCACGTGAAGTTTAGCTGAATTAAGTGAGGATAGTTTTATTTGTCCTTCCTGACATAGAGAGTCAGGAAAATGCTATTTAAATCTAATGATAAAAAATGAGGCATGGGTATTTGTGTGTTGCCATGCACATCTTTCATTACCCCTATAAACTGTTCGAGGATAGAACCATGTCTTTTCCATCTACCAGAAGTCTGCTTGGTACCTAGACTAGCTCTTAACACATGCTCATACACGCAGCACATAGGAAGAGTTTGTGTTTGAGATACTGTTAGTAAAGTTTTTGAGTTAAAAACATTCCACCTGGGTGTATTTTTTAAAAAACCAACTAATTTTGCTGATGAAGTTTAATTATTACTACTACTAAACACAATCAAGTGCTGAGATAGAGAGAAAGGTTAGGAAACCTGTGGCATGGTTTAAAATACAGATGTTTGAAAAATTTATAAAATGTGTAGTAATAGAATTCCCCAGTATCTTGGGGAAAATTACTGGGTAATTGTTTCTTTGAGATCACTGAGATGAGATCACTGAGATAACTCAAAAGACTGCAATTCATAAACATGTGTTGAGCTTGTCCCTGTTCCAGTCTAGGGTCAGAAATGTTCCTGAGAAAGGCAGATGAACAAGACAAAGTTCAAATGCCATAAGATAATTGATATAATGGAATAATAATGCAAATCTGTGGGAACAAAGAAGCAATTCGTTCTATAAGGAGGAAAGTGCTAAAGGAGTGACGTTTGAACTGGACCCTTGAAAGATGAAGGCAGTCCAGGTAGAGGACAAAGTGCGGGCACAGGCAAGAACAGCATGAAAGGATGGGAGCCCCAAACAATCCTCACTGGCTGGACGGCAGGAGTGCGTGGCTAGAGGGTCACTGGGTCCAGGGGCAGGGGCATTTGTGCATCCAGTCAAAGTCGAGGCTCGATTCTATGGGAATGAGGTGCAGCTTTGAGCAGGGAGTACTCTAGAGGCAGAGGTGGTAGAGATTAGGAAGGGATGTTGCAAAACTGCAGGCAGAGAGAACCAGTAGGATATGAAAAATAAGAATCTGACCAGGAAAGGCTGCAAGTGGGGAGAGGTTTCAGATGTTGACACTACTGCTTTTATTGTCTTTTTCACCCCTTAGATTTCAGAGGCCTTGAAAAAATTTGGTATCTCAGCAAATGATACTTCGGTTTTGATTGCTTATATTGAAGAGGGTGAAAAACAAATAAATCAAGAATACCTAATATCTCAGGTAGAAGGTCATCAGGTTCCTCTGAAAAGTCTCCCCGAAATAACAAATATTACGGAAGTCAAAAAGGTTTGTAAACCCATATTTTTAGAAAGAGCATGATAGATGTGGAATAATATACTGTTTGCTTATTGATCACCAGTGCTTCTATATTGTTTTAACTTTTAAGAAAGGTTAATATAATTAAAAATTACTTGAAAAATGATTAGAGATGCAAAGAAATGCAGATTTATTTAAGATATAATTAGAAACTTAGTTGATAAAGACATTCTTTTAAAAAGGATAACTTTAAATATCAAGCTTACATTTGAAATGTAAAATATAGTATGAAGTTAATGTCTAGATGTGTGCTTTTAAAATTGGTACAAATGTTTTGATGTTTAGAGAGTTACCACTATAACTTCAGTTGAAACTTTTGACATAAGTGATGAGTTGCTGTCTACTTTGCATACCTTAATCACATTGTGATTCCATTCCATTATACCAATAATTGAGTAATAAATTAGGTCACATATATGTGTTTAATGAAAATTAGTAGTGCATGAATATGTCAGCATGTCATAATCTGTCTTTTATGCTTACAGGTATATAAACTATCTTCACAAGAAGAAAGTATTGGAACATTATTGGATGGTATAATTTGTAGAATGTCAACAAAAGATGTTTTGTGAAATGACAGAAATATTAAAAAATTTTCAGCTTTTGTAAAAAACATTGTTTTTTCTAGATCATAAAATCTATTATGTTGTGTTGTAGAAAGTTTTAAAACACAGAATGGTAACAAAGAAAAAAAAACCACTCCTGGTTGTACCTCTTCATATTTTTTTTTTCTTAATTTATTTATTTCTACCAGTTTATTGCTACCAACCCATCTCCCTCCACCCTCGTGCACACACGCTCAGTCATGTAATCCCATGGACTTCAGCCCGCCAGGCTCCTCTGTCCATGGATTTTTCAAGGCAAGAATACTGGAGTGGGTTGCCATTTCCTTCTCCATCCTCTTCATATTTTAAAATATAATCACGGATACTGTTGTCTTCTGTTTCTGTCCAAATATATTTTGTTTTTATATAATTGGAATAATTGCAGACGTTTATTGAATGTCTACAGTATACTAGGTTCTTATCTAAATGACTTTATATCCATCAACTCATACTCTTAACACTTAATTCTGGCTACTCCAGCGTCACCGTTCCAAGCCTCCTGGTTCCAACTTTTTGTATGCAGGAATTCATTTAATTATCACAGCATCATATGAAGTAGATTACTCGCATTAAAAGGTTGTACAAATAATAATGTGCGCAAGGTCATACAGCTAAAAATCATGTTTTATAAATGGTTTGGGATTTTTTTTTTTCATATTTTAACTTAAAATATGATTGTGTCAGTCAAGATAGAGTAGGTTACAGGCCCTGTGTTAATGTTTTGCTAAGTTTGCTGGTTCTTAGTCTTTTCTATGCATGGGCAAACACTTCTTTTCTAAAATATTTGAAAGTAAATTCCAGACCTTGGGGCACTTCACCCTCCATTGTTGTCATATCTCTCTCAATTATTTTTTAATTGAAGGAGAATTGCTTTACAGAATTTTGTTGGTTTCTGTCTTATATCAACAGTCATGTCTCTTTTCTAGAACTATCTTTTTTTTTAAAAAGGTGATGTTGATATTTTTTGAAGAATACCCCAGATGTCTTTCAGAATTTTAGAATGAGTTTGTTTGTGATGCAAGTCAGTTTAAATATTTTGGAGAATGATAGGTAGATTTTGTGTCCTTCCAATTTTACATCGTTGGGAGGCACATACCGTCACTTGGCCTCTTCACTGATGATATATTTGGTCGCTTCGTTAAGGTGGTACCCCAGACTTCTCCATTATGAAGGCATCTTTTCTCCTGAAGCTTAGGGAGAAGTCAAAGCTGCCCTAAAGCTCAAAGTGCCTGTGGTCAGGATTAAAACTCCAAGTGACCCCTGATTCTATGCTCCTAATGACTCCACACAGCCATCACTATCAAACATGTTCTTTGTCAAAGTGAAGCTTCACATAATGTAATTCTATTTTTATAATTAACATTGCTTTCAATTTTTCATTTTGCTTTTGCAAGTAAATCTCTGTACACGTCTTTTTCTGTAGGATAGAGCCCCTGAAGTGGAATTACTGGGGAAGAGGATGTGAATTTTTAATACCAGAAAGGTGCCACTTCACACTTGTAATAGCAGTGCACAAGTGTGCCAATCTCAGCAGACTCACCAACAATGCCTTTAAACTTCTCACCATTTTCACCATTTTGAAATGTCAGACTACTGGTGAAGTTGAACTATGTTTATTTGTTATGAAGAGTTTTGAAAGGGTTTATACCTGTAACCATATAGATTTTTTTTTTTAACTCTATGAGCCTTTGGGTGAAGAAGGCAAAAGAAGTAATGCCATTTCCTGGGAAAGAAGTTAACATAAGGTCCACAAGCTTTTCCTCTTAAAGAAGTTGAGCCAATTTAGGAATAATGTTCTTTGTTCTTAAATTAACCAGTTTGCTTCAGAGCCTAAACGCTCCCCCAGCAAAAGCAACCAGTGATTATAGGGCCTTTGATGCTGGAAGAGAAGGGATGCAGTTTGGCAGGCCACCCTCATTTGGCTCCTTGGTCAAGGGTTACAGGATTAATAAGGGATACTAAGGCAAAAAGCCAGCTGTCGCTAGGATAACGTGAGGGAAAGAGGCTCTGACACCCAGGCAATCGTTGCTCCCCATCTCCCCAGTCTTGGGAACAATGTAAGCTGCCCCTACAGTGTCAGAATCTTTAATCCCCTGCCCATCTCCCCACCTCACACTCAGGAAAACTACAAGAATGCTCCTAAGCACTGTGCCTTCTTTTTAGAAGGAGTCCTGGGGCTCACAGGCTGTTTCAGGCCACCTGCTGCCTTTCTCATTTTTGCTTTCTCTTTGGTGACCTTTCTGCTTGTCTGGAAACCTGGGACCTGTGCTAGGGTTGCGCCTGCTTCTCTGCACCTGGTTTTGCTTTGCTGACTGATGTGCTACCGGCACTCCGTGGTACAAAACTGGGTAAGGCACAGCTCTCTAGGTGATTGGTCTCAGAATGAGACAAGTTTGTATTTTCATAGTCCTCTGTGCCTGTTACCTGCCATTGTTCCCGCCAGCTCACTCTTCATCCTCTCCTCTCTGCCCTGGAGGCTGACTTACCATGTACACAGCCAGAGGTCCTTCCTTCCCCTTGGCTTCTGCTTGGGTTTGGCCAGTGTGTGGAGTGGGGAGGCTAGCAGGAGAATGAGGCCAAAGGTATTTATTTTCCTGGCCCCTCGCTGCAAGGATCCCTAGGCTGGCTTTGGCCTTGGACCTCTCAGGACCTCTCAGGCCTTGGACCTACTCAACTTCTGGGTCAGGTTCCTGTCCCCTCACCCCCCTGCCTCACTTCAGGCCTCTTCAGCATTAACATACCTTGTTCCCCTTTACCCACCACACCTTCATAATTGGGCCTTTTGGTGATTTATATAAAATGAGCTTGGGTTATCCTAATTTGAGTGTTGGGGCCTGATAACGCCTCCCTTTTGTTAAAAGGTTAGATTAGAAGTATTTCTATAGAGCTACAGTCACTGTTCCAGTATTTCTGATAATCTTGCCAAGGAGTGACCTATCGGAGCACCTTCTTTCCTCTCGAAACAATTTGCTGTTACTTCGTCTCACTCATGTCCTTTAAGTTATGAGTGCTCAGTGGGAATCCAGGGCACTGACCTGAAGCTGGCTTACTGGGAACCCTGATGAGAGATCAGGGGAGATGATGTTCTTTCCAGTTCACTGACACATTTCTGGGCTTAGCTGGTCTAGTATGCAGGTGTTCTTCATAAATGCAAGCATGGGATTTCATTGACGTGCTGCTCTCATGTCCCACAACTCTGGGAATAATAGTGATTCCAAAAATATAACTACCTATTATAATCAGGTTCCTACGGGTAAATAGAAAAATAAAATAATTTATCAGGTTACTAGTACCTGTTTAACTGTTACTAAGTTAACAGTTTTTAGCAAGTAACAACAGCAATATAAGTGCTGAATGAGAAGTGCAAAGTCTTCAAAGGAGGGAGCAGATACAAGATCCATCTGGTTGGCAGGTGTCAGAATCTTGATGGAGAAGGTAGCACTGAACTGGACATTGAGCCTTAGTCACATACTGGATCTTGGTCAAGTATGGCCTGAACACAGGGCCGTGATGAGGCTTAGAGATGAAGCTTGCATCGCAGGAGACCGCTGGTTCTGTTGGCATACAGTGCTTTATACTAATTAATAATTCAAACACTTGTCAGATACCTGCCTTTTGGGGTCAGCATGTGGTACTAAAAAGCAAAATGTTCAGGCCTTTGAGTCAAAACTGCCAAGGCTCGGGTGCCACTCTCATGGGTAGGATATCTCAGGTTTGTGAGCCTCGGCTTCATGTGTGTAAAATGGAGGCAATATGAGCCTTAGCTCTTAGATGGTTGTGAATGTCAAATAGTACAGCACAGGAAAAGTGCTTTTCTCACAGTGCCGGGTATCTAATATCTTAGCAAATAACAGCTGTCTGTATGTACCAGGCATAATACTGAGGCATACAGTAAAGTAAGACTCACTGCTGGTGGGAAAGTAAAACTTAGGACAACGGTTTGGCAGTGCCTCAAGCTGTTAAAATAGTTACCATATGACCCAGCAATTCCACTCCTAGATATATACCAACGGAATTGAAAACAGGTGTTGAAACAACCACCTGCACAGAATATTCATAGCAACACTATTCACAATAGCCAGAATGTGGAAACAAGTGTCCATCAGTGGATGACTGGATAAACAAATGCGGTCTGTCCTTTTGATGGAACATTATTCAGCTATAAAAAGCAATGAAGTGCTGATACCTGCTAGGACATGGGTGAACTTTGAGAACCAAAGTGAAAAACTAAACATAAAAGTTCACATATTGTGTGATTCCATTTAAATGAAACATCCAGAATAGGTAAATCCAAAGACACATCAGGCTAGTGGTTGCCGTGGGTGCAGGAGCGGTGGAAATGGAGTGACTACCTACCGACTAAGGGGTTTCATTTTGGGGTGATGAAAATGCTTCAGAACAAGACAGATGGTTATACAACATTGTGAATATACTAAGTGCCACTGAGTTGTACACATTTGAATGGTTAATTAAAAATAACAGAATAACACACCTGCCTTACCTTCAAGAATTCACAATCTTTTAATGGGTCTCTTTAGATTGACTCTTTAAGAGTTGGCTGAAGTACATTTGCAGCAATATAGAATATCATGCTAAGTGAAGAAAGTCAGAGAAGGACAAATACAAATACCATGTGAGACCGCTTGTATGTGGAATCTAAAATAGGACACAAATGAACTCATCCACAGAACAGAAACAGACTCAGAGAATAAACTTGTGGTTGCTATGTGGGAGAGGGAAGGAGTGGGAATTTAGCAGGTGCAATTTGTTCAGCAGATGCAAATTGTTATACACAGAATGGATAAACAACAAGGTCCTACCGTATAGTACAGGGAACTATATTCAATATCCTGTGACAAACCATAATGGGGAATACGAAAAAGACTGTATATGTATAACTGAGTCACTTTGCTTTGCAGCAGAAATTAATACATTGTAAATCAACTATCATTCAATAAATTTTTTTTAAAAAGGAGTTGGCTGAGGCAGAGACAGATTCCCAAGCCTCAGTTTCATCATTTGAAAGCAGGGTCAAGAGCCTGTAATGTGCCGAGACTTCTAGACTTGCATCTCTTACACAGAGAATTACCCGTAATTCCTCTATCCAGAGATAAATGCTGCCAATCTTTGGTGTAACCATTCAAGACTTTTCTCTCTGCATGCTTGTGAATATAAATTATTATTGTTATATTTTTTCAAAAATGAATGAAAACATACTGTTTTATAACCTTTTATAGCTTGACAGTTATTTTTCATGTCAATAAATCCTCATGATCACTATTCATGACTTATGAGGAAGGTTAAAAAGCCTAAATGTGAACCAAGGTCACTGGGCTGAAGAAGCCACAGAAGTTGGTGAGAATACAGGAAAGAGGGTGGGGACAGACGGGACATCTGGCCCCCCAGCTTGACCACTAGGTTTCTGATTGGTGAATATGAGAGACTCATTAGAGTTACTCAGCTATACTTTGGAGTATACATTCTCTTTTGGTTCCTTGTTCAAATTTTGCTTAACGTTGAAATGTTAAAAATGGCACCTTTGCGGTGATCTCTTTCACAAGTCTGGTCTCTGAAGCATCCTCCTAGTTGCTCTTGCCAGAAACCTAGCTGTCATCTCTGACCCGTTCTTCATCCTCAGATTAGCATTAATTTGTCATTTCTGTTCCTAAAAAACACTAAGAGGGCCAGTTTACATCCATGGCCCCATTCTGGTCCAAGTTACCGCTTTCTCTTGTAGGATCCCCGCTAGCCTAGATGGCTCCTTTGCGAACATAGAACAAGTCACCCCCTTCAACACCAACACAACCTGCTGGACACGCAGTTCAGTGGGCAGTGACACCTTTGAGCAAAATAAGAAAAAGATGCCTTTTTTTGGTCAGACTCAGCTCTGTGCCAGGGCTCGTGGATTTTAGTTCCCACAAGCCTTCCTTGACAAGGTGATCTTGTAAAGTGAGCATCTGTGTATCTATCTGTATCCAGAGGCCCTTGTGCTTGGACCACTGCACTAGCCTCTGGGGGGCAGGGGGATATAGACTTCCATTCCAGGCCCTTTCAGTCCATTTTCCACAGGTCACCAGAATCACACACACATCCCACACAACCCACCGCTACCTCTGGTTATTACGTCCCAGCTAAAAGAACAGCAGTGGGCTCCTGATGTTCTTAGAGCCCAAACTTCGTAACCTGGATGAGATGCCCCGCATGGGCAGGGCCCTGCTGCCCTCACCCAGCTGTGGAGGACTGTGTGTACTGAGCCAGCAGAACTGGACTCTGGCCTGTGATGACAGAGCACAGGGTGAGGGGCGAATACTCCATACCACGGTGCCAGGTGAACTGCCGTGGTTGGGGGTGTAGGCCGGCCACAAGGGCAAGAGCCCCTGAGCTGTTCCAAACCATGTGACCCCTCCAAGCTAATGCCCTGGAGTTCAGAGAACAAAGGATGGGCTTCCTGCTCTATCAGAGCCCAGCCCCTTGAGCTTTATGATTAACAAATACTCAGAAGTCAGCCAATGAGGTGCCATCCAGGACCCGGGCCCCAGAAATAGAACAGGCCCTGCACAGTCTCTCCTGGATGCCAGTCGGACGCTGAGGACAGACGCCAGGCCGAGGGAGCCCTGGACACTCCAGGCTCTTGTGATAGCAGGTGAGAGGACATGGGTGGAAGGACAGTGCTCTCAGGTGTGGCCTGGAGCTCCGGACTTGCCCAGCCTTCAAGGCTGGATCACTTTTGGTGTTGGGCTCTCAGCAGCCTGAAAATCTGCAATCAAGGGGGAAGGAACATTTGCTGTTTCCAAGTCTTTGTACTTGGAAAAACAGGCTTCCCCTAGTGTATGGGCCCTGAAGAGAGGGACCAAAAGGAGGAGGACACATGCGTGGCTGCTGCATGGAGCGCCAGTGTATGGAGAAACTGAGGGCTAGGGAATGGGGAAAGACGGGGAGGGTACTTCATAATCAAAGCTTTGTTTATGCTATTTCATTAAATCCTCTGAGCAACTTCAGAAGGCAGATTCTTAGAGATCATATAACATGCCCAAGGTCATGCATGAAGCCATGATCAAATGCAGGTCTTTCGGGCTCTACGCCTTCTCCCAGCGGCTGTGGCCTACTTCCTCTTGGGTAGAAGCAGAGAGACACATCTTTGAGCAGGGTCTTCCTGGTTCTGGTAGGTGGGCCACTCACATGGCTTCCTCTTTCTTCCCCAGGGCTGCTGGGCAAGCATAAGGAGACACTTAGCTCTCTCTTGAACTTCGAGATCCAGACAACCAGAAGTCTTCTATGGCTCCCTATCACATCCGCAAATACCAGGAAAATGACCGCAAACGGGTCATAGATTTGTTCTCTATGGCGCAGGCCGAGCACATTCCTGCCACCTTCCGCCACATCCTGAAGCTGCCCCAAACCATTGTGCTCTTGCTTGGGGGACCCCTTGCCGTAATCCTAGTCTCTGGCTCCTGGGTTCTGGCCTTTGTGGCCAGCCTCGCCCTCCTTGCTGCCCTGAGGTTCCTTGCCAAATACCCCTGGAAGCAGTTTGTAGCCATGTCTTTGCGCACAGACATGTCTGACATCACTAAATCTTACCTCAGTGAGCGTGGCTCGGGCTTCTGGGTGGCTGAGTCTAAGGGGCAGGTGGTGGGCATGGTGGGAGCACTGCCTGTTGAGCAGCCCACCCTGCAGCAGCAGCAGCTGGAGCTGCTTCACCTGTGCGTGGCCCCTGAGCACCGAGGTCACGGGATAGCAAAAGCCCTGGTCAGGACTGTCCTCACGTTTGCACGAGACCAGGGCTACGGCGAAGTGGTCCTGATCACCAGCATGCTGCAGCACTCTGCCCTGGCCCTTTACCAGCGCCTTGGCTTCCAGAAGACGAGACAGTTTTTCTTATTCAAAAAATGGAGGCTAATTTCTCTCTCTCAAATTCAATTTACCTACTGCCTCCCCTCTGCTCAGGTCTCTCAGGCACTGGAGCAGGGAGGGGGCCTGTGATCTGCTTTCTAGCGGATTAGTCAGGAGGAATCGGCTCTGCTGCAGAAAGAGGCAGCCCCTGACGTCTCAGTGTGACGGCCGGGTAAAAGCTTATGGCTTTGCGTAGTGGTGCTGGGGGTGGGGTGGCTCTGCTCCACTCAAGTCTCTTGGGATTGCTACTGTTTCATTTATCTAATGCCAAGAGGTTGTTGCATGAAAAACTACCACAAAACAATAATAAACCTTTTTCTTTGGCTCATGAGTCTGTGGGTCAGCAGCTTAGGCTGGGTCGCCCCTTTGGTGTCCAGGTGTCATGCCGGGGACCCTCCCCACTTTCAGTGAACGGAAATGCAAAATCATATGAAGAGGGCGTGGAGAAGGCGTGTGAGAAGAATCCACGTGAGAAGGACTGGGGCCAATGATGCCATCAATCTGTTATGGTTCCCAAGGTCTTTGCTGAAGGGGAGAAGGCAGCCAGGGACAGGACTAGACCCAGAAGTGGCACTACCTGCATCTCTCTGGCCAGGACCAGGTCATGATTTAAATCCAGCTACTGCTGTCTCCTGAGTTGTGTCTACTCAAGGCTAGCGGCCCTGAGGGAAGCTGGCGTGAGGCGAGGACGTGGCTCTGGGCCCACGGTGCCTGTGTCTGCCGCGAGTCCCTGGACCCACTCAGTGGCTGCCAAGAAGACACTGTCTCCATGGAATCAACAAAAGGGCTCTCACTACATCACATGGCATTTCTAAAGAAAGACCACATTTTATTTAACAGCCCATTTCCCTTGACTGGCACTTTTAGATTGAAGGCTCCCACACATCCCTGGGAAACACTGCATAGCTCCCAGCACCTCTCCAGATGGAAAATAAAAAACCTTCTGCTGCTTGCTTTACTATGAGTCAATCAGAAGTTATTTATTTTCTATAAAAACACATACAAAAAGGGACTTACTCTTGGCTAGAATTAAGGTAACAAGGTAACAAATTAAGGTAACTGTAACAAATATCCTTGTGGGTAAGGCCACTGTGGAGAAATACTGCTCCTAAACCATTAATAATCTTAGTCATCATTCTACCCAAGACTCTTTAGAAGGTAACTGCTTCTACATTACACATGGACAACAAGTTTTATTCAACCAGACTCAAAAAAGTAAGGATTGTGTTCCTCCAAGCTGATAAAATATAATTCCAAGGCGCTGAGGAAAATACTCTTTATTTCAGTCCCAAGGAACTTTTCTCCCCAAGAGTTGATTGGTCACTTTCTGTGGAAGAAAAGAAAGGGAGGAAAGAAGTTAGATATTCTTGCCATCAGAGGCAGACAGCCGCTCCTCACCCTAGATGTGCTGCTGAAGAGACCAGTGTGGTTCTCCCAAATCTTATCTTCCCCAGCTTCAGAAAATATGGTAATTATAGTAGAAAAAGTACTTCCTCAAGTGTTTGGGAAAGATGATCTACAGTCTATTATAGTCTACACAGAAACATTATATTAATATAATCCTAACAGACTAATCTGTCTGTCAGTTCACAAACACACAAGCCCAAGAGAAGCCTGGCCTTGAGATGCTGACGCACCACACACCCCACTTGAGGGAGCCCAGCCCGAGCCGCGGTGCACACTCCAGGAGCAATTCTCCAATCCCACATGGGTCTCGTATGAACTCGTCTCTTGGTTCCTGACTTTCAGAGTCCTCTGAGGGTGAAACAAGGGGGTTGGGAAAGAAATGAGAACAGTGAAGGATCTAGACCTTCAGGTCCATCTGCTTTCTCATGGAATTAATTGGCAGCAAGTCCCCTGGCCTGTGAGGTTCTGGGACTTGTAGCACCATTAATTCTACTGGGGCCATGGGTAGGAAATGGTGGTGACTTCAAGGTCCTGAGTCCCCAAACTACCAACTTGTATGCTACACTTGGGCATTTTCCAATTTATTTGAAAAGTTCTAGTGGTATATGATTTACCTATAAGGGACATAAAACCACCATTTGGGACTCAAATGAAAGCCCAACAATCCTGAAGGATGTGGGGATTTCCAGCATGGCATCTAAACTGACACCTAACTATGAAACTTGGTTTCACTCCAAAGGTGCCTGGAAGGTGACTTATTTATTGAATAATTTTTAAAAATTAAAGAAAAAAAAATTTTGGCCACACCATGCAGCATGTGTGATCTTAGTTCCCAACCAGGGATTGAACCTGTGCCCCTACAGTGGGAGTAGAGTCTCAACACACTGGACCTCTGGTGAAGTCCCTGAAAGAAAGTGAAGTTGCTCAGTCGTGTCTGACTCTTTGCGACCCCATGGACTGTAGCCTACCAGTCTCCTCCGTCCAGGGGATTTTCCAGGCAAGAGTGCTGGAGTGGGTTGCCATTTCCTTCTCCAGAGGATCTTCCCGACTCAGGGATCGAACCTGGGTCTCCCGCATTGTAGGCAGACCTCACCATCTGGGCCACCAGGGAAGTCCATTTGATTTGCCTTTTTAGATTTTCAGATTTGAAATCTAGTTACAGGTGCTTTTGTCTTCTAAATTTCAGCATTGGTACAATGTACTTATTAGCTTAAGTTCACTCTCCAAATACGGTTAATTCAAACAGGTCTTGATTTCTCTTTCCCCTGGTAAACCTCATCAATCCTGCTTTACGACCGACCGACCTTTTTATACAGCTGGGCTCGCAGACGGTATGACTTATATTCTGATCTCCTCTTTTCTTCTTGTCTCTTTTTCTGTACTTCGGGAAGCTGTTCATAAATCCTTAGAAATGGTGATGGTGGAAAGACAGAAAGCAGTGAGGTTACTGACCACAGGGGCACACGATCACTTCTCCCCATGCCTCCTAAGCTCTACTGCTCTCTAGGCACTCATTCCCTCACACAGACTGTGGGCCTGTTGTGGGCCCAGCTTCCTGTTAGACACTTGGACATAAAGAACCCTGGCTAGAGTGTTCAAGACCTGGAAAGAGATACAGATAAACAAAAACATAATAAAACCCTGCTGACAGTGGTCACTTCAGCGAAAGTAGTGGAATAAAGGGTGCGGATGAACTTCTTGGCACTCTATATGTAAAAATGTATGGTTTCAATATAAGATAATGACTACGTATTACTACTATACTTCTAAAGACGAAAAATAATGCAAAAAAAGTAGAATGGGTCATATCTACAAAATGCTACACAGAGTTACAGGAAATGAAAAAAACTTATTCTGACAGAAGGAGGTCAACAAAGACCAAATAGATTAAGTTTGAGGTCGGTCCTGAAGAAGTTAGGAGTAGAAAGGAGATGGGAGGGGAAGGGAGTGTCATTAAGAACGGAGACAAGGTTTCATGGAGAGAGTGTAGGGGAAACAGAGGGGGTGAAGGTCTCATAGTCATGTGAAAACCTTGGGCTCTGTCCATCACGGATTGGATGCCACTGATTTTAAAGAAACATGTTTTGAGGAACATGATCAAAGATGCATTTGATACATACACTTTAATTGGAAATTATCTAAATTTCCAACAAGAAAACAAATTATGGACTACAATAAAATTATCACAAAGCACAAAATGTTTCAAAGAGCTTTTATGATACGGGAAAACATTCGCAATACTCAAAATACAGTGTTAAGCAAAATAAAACAGGCTACAAACTTCTATATATAGTATGATCAACCATTTGGGGAAAAAGAAGTATTGCATTGGCCAAAAAGTTCCTTCAGTTTTAAAGTGAGAATAAAAGACATGTTTTTCATTTTCACTAAGAACTTCATTGAACAGCGTATTCACTGTTTTGTTCCACTACCTCTTCTGCCATTTTCCAGGCAACTTCATAATTCCATTCTCCCAAACTTTTTATCTTTTTGAGCAAAGAACTGTTTCAGGTGCCTTTCACAGTCTTCCAGGGAATTGAAAAATTTCCCATTAATATTATAAAGACAAGAATAAACGTAAAACTGAAGGTGCAATATCTGGTGAATACTGCAGATGAATCAGAACTTCCCAGCCAAACTGTAACAGTTTTTTCTTGGTCAACAAACATGCGGTCTTGCGTTATCTTGATGAAAGATGATGTGCTTTGTGTTGACTGATTCAACAGAATTAGTCTGGCTCACTTTTCGTCGAGTGTTGCTTTCAGTTGGTTTAATTGGGAGCAGCACTTGTTGGAATTAATTATTTGGTTTTCCAGAAGCAGCTCACAATAGAGAACTCCTTCCAATCCCACCATATATACAACATCACCTTCTCTGGATGAAGATCACACTTTGGTGTGGCTGGTGGTTCATTTTGCTTGCCCCATGATCACTTCCTTTCCATGTTATTGTACAGTATCCACTTTTGATCACCCATCACAGTTTGTTTTAAAAAACAGAATGTTTTCGTTATGTTTAATAGAGAATCACATGCAGAAATATGGTCAAGAAGGTTTTTTTCGCTTAACTTATGTGGAACCTAAATATCAAAGTGATTAACATAACCAAGTTGGTGCAAGTGGTTTTTAAAGATTCAACATTTGATTTGGATATACTGAGTACATTGGCTGTCTCTCATGAGGCATAACACTGATTGTTCTCAATATCTCAATTTGATCGCTATCAACTTCAACTGATCAACCCGATTTTCCAGCAAGAAATCTCCAGCATGAAATGAAACACTGTAATCCACTTTTGATACATTTGATAAGTCGCAGCACCTTCTCCATATATTGCACAAATCTTTTTTTGCATTTCAGTTGTGTTTTTATTGCTCTTGAAATAGTAAAGTATAATATACTGAAAATTTGCTCTTTTTCTTCCATCTTCAATATTAAAATGGATACATAAAAATTCACCAATTTTGATAAGTTTTAAAATGCATTCTGATATGACAGACAGCTGTCACAATACAACCTAACAAAATTGTTTTGAAAGAAGTTAAAGACAAGTAAGTTCTACTAGAGCCATCTTCTGGAAAATACTGAATTTTTGCCAACCCACTATATGCATCTATATAAGCACTAATACTTTTTTAAAAAGACTACAAATGGTGTACACATGATTCTGAAACTTTATTTCAAGTTTCAAACTTTACTTAGATACAAGCTTAATGTATTGTATCTTTGAGATTATTTCCTTATCTCTTATTATATTGGATACAATTCCTAGAAAAAGGATTGCCTATATATAGAGCCCCAAATAAGTATTTACTTTTATTTCAAAATATTTTTATTTATATTTAAGTTTCTAACAAAAACAAGCCTGACCAAAGCATAAAAATTCCTGGCAATTCTTTGTATTTTTTATATATGAGGCATCCAT